TGTTTTCCTGCATTCGCCTTTTTAATGGCTATTTAACTTTTCTTTGATATCTTCTAAGTTTTTATTAAATTCGCCCTCATTGCTTGATCCTGGCTGGGACGGTTGATCCATATCTAAAGAAAAAAAATATATGTATCATATATATATATATATATATATATATATATATATATGTATATATATGTATATATATATGATGATAGTTTTCTCGACGTTGATACATATTTGTAATATTTTTGCAGCCTAACCGTCGAATTAAAAAAAGATTAAATAACAACATTATTTATTCCATTAAACGTTTCGAAACTTGATGTGTGTCATCATTCAGTAATCAAACCAGGAAAAACAGAAAACTTTAATTATGATGTAAAATTGATTAAACACTAAATTTGTGTAAAATAATAAAATGCTATTATATTAACAAACGAGAAGTAGGAGGAGCACATATTGCCCTCCTATATTTAATGTTATTGGTAGCATAGCATTGTGTGCACTGTTCAAGGTTAAAAGTACATCGTGAAAACTATCATCTTCACATCATCTTCATATATATATATATACTAGCAGGCCCGACAGACTTCGTCCTGTCAAAAAAAATTGTAATGTGGCGGTGTTTTGTGCCTACCTTTTTTCTATTCTTTGTAAAAAATTATCCTCCACAGAACCGTCACCCTGGTAATAATTCGGTGTGAATTAAAAATAATTAATAAAACACTATAAGAATTTAAAAGTAAGTAATTTTAATAATGTAAATCATAATTCAAAAATCAGTTCAATTTTCATTGTAGTGCTTTGTGATAACGATGTTTTTTTTGTTGATTACCTGGCGCATAGACAAACAAATCTGATGGTTTTCCAATACGGGAACAAACAACATACAATTTCCATGTGAGAAACATGGGTTTTCTAAATTAATACCACAAACACTTAATGATACCATAAACGCACTGGAAACGCATTGGGATGCATGGTGCGAGAACATCTTATGCTTTATACTATCCTTTGAATATAGTTGGTCGATATTTCGCAACATTATAATTGCCGATCCAACCTTTAATTGAAGATTGTGAGGTGACTATCCTAGCAAATCCAGCGAGTTTAAAAACTCCGGTGGATCGTCTTGGTTAGTTGCCGAATCAACTGATTCGCCTGTAATTTGTTCTTGAATTTTGAAATTTAATTAATTTACATCAATGTTTTTGGCTGCCAATATAGCTTGATTAATAGAAAGATATTTCTATGTTTATATAAATATATTCAAAATTAGATTATCAAAACTACACAAAATGTCATGACATATAATCATTGTTTTTTTTACAAATTGCGTTGCCTACTCGATTAAAGAGAAAAGGGCTGTTTTTAGGGTTTTCTCGGCAATTATTCGTTTTTTTCTTGCCGTAACACATCTTCGGACTTCAACGAACATTTTAGAAAAAGAATTGGCCAAATTGGTCTAGGCGTTGTTGAGTTTGCGCTTACCAACACATTTTGCGATCCATTTTTATATATAAGATATATAATATATATATATATACATATATATATATATAATATATATATATATATACATTGCAGTGTGTTCGTTTTCACAGATAATATTTAAATAAATAAATAAAATAATAATAATAAAAAATAAATAAATATACAAAATTCAAGTACAGTATCCATGAAGGTTGCCAACCCCTGTATGTCAAATTTATATAATAACCTCCAAACAGCTGTTATTTTGTATACAAGCATTTGAAATACACGTTTGAATTACAATAAAGCTAAATAATAATTAACAATAATCAATTACCGATAATAACAAATTAATTATACATATAAACATCTATTTTAAACCACCATACACTAAATCGCGACTGGAGCATCCAAAATGTTAGTGCCAAATATAACGCTAAATAATGGACAAAAAATGCCGAATTTTGGGCTAGGAACTTACAAGGTATTTAATAATTATAATATAACAAAATTAGCAAAAATAACTTACTTGTTTTTTATTATAAAGGCCAAAGATGGAGAGGCGCAACGAGCTGCTCAAGATGCCATCGACGCAGGATATCGGCATTTCGATTGCGCTTATTATTATCAAAATGAAAAAGAAATTGGTGAAGGAATTAAAGCTAAAATAGATGAAGGAGTTGTGAAAAGGGAAGATTTATTCATTACAAGTAAGGTAATTTATATTTACCATGTGAAACTAAATATTAAATTACTTATTTTTTATCCAACCATTATTTTTTCAGTTGTGGTGTACTTTCAACGAACCAGAAAATGTCCTCAAATACTGCAAACAATCTGTCGATAGCATCGGCTTGGGATATCTTGATCTATATTTGATCCACTGGCCATTTTCATTCAAGGCAATAACATATATAGCATACTTCATTTATAATTATTTACATTTTCATTTATATTTTTCTCTCCAGGCCTCAGATGGGTCATATGCCGATGTAGATTTTGTTGATACTTGGAAATCCATGGAAGAATGTTTGAAACAAGGTTTAACTCGAAGCATAGGAATAAGTAATTTCAACAGTATACAAGTTGAAAGATTGTTGCAACATTGCACAATCAAACCTGTTGTTAATGAAGTTGAAGTTAATACTAGTATTAATCAAAGGAGATTGATTAAATTCTGCAATGATAGAGGGATTGCGATAGTTGGTTATACACCATTAGGTAAACATAAAGTACTTATGAAATATATAATCATGAGAAATCAGTTTAAATTTGCTTTTGCAATTAATATATTACAATATTTTATAATAATTTAATACTTTAGGTTCAATAGACACCAATAGGCCCGGTGTGAATGGTGTTCCATCAATAGTTCAGGAATTAGCAGAAAAATATAATAAAACTCCTGCACAGATAATACTACGATATTTGGTAATTATTTATGTATAAATAAGTATATTAAATTTATTGCATTGTTATTTGTTATTCATAGTAATTTTCATAATAGAATTAAGAATGGTTTCAGATCATTTCCAATAATTATAATAAAGGGAATGTGTGTAATTTAATTTTATATTTTTAATAAACTAATTTTTTTTCCTGCAGATTCAACTTGGAGTTACTCCAATACCAAAATCTGTGACCAAATCAAGGATTGCATCCAATATCCAAGTTTTCGACTTTTGAGTTATCAGATGAAGATGTTGAGAAGATGGACTCTCTGAATAAAAATGAAAGATATATCACATTTGAATCTGCCAAAGGCCATAAAGAATATCCATTTAATATAGATTTTTGAAAGATAGTTTATACAAACATTATTACATATAGTTTAATTCAGAATCACACAAAATAAACATTATTATATTTATAATATTTATATAGCTAATAAAAGATTTAAAATATTACAATATATTTTATTACTATAGTATAGCAATTGATTTAACATGTAGTAATATATATTTCTGTCTGAGCAGCTGCAATATCTGTCTTGCCCAAAAAATATTTTCCATTTTTAGTAACTTCAAAAATTTATAGAAACTACAAATAATATAGAAATTATTTCAATAAACTTATGTTTACGGCACAAATGTTTCATCTGTTTTATTATTTTCATTATAACAATTTATGGTGAACAGGGTAAAATATTCTTCTGATTCAGACATTTTCTATTATTATTATAATTATTAAGATTTGTACTACCATGTAACCTTAAAATGTTTATCTGATTTCCTTATCAGATAAATAAACAGCCAGATCTCTATTCACGTGACACGACTACTTATCACAGTTCGTAACGCTATTTCCGTTGCATTCTCACAGATTTACATCCAAGTCGCTCCTAAAGAAGTTTTGCTTCAACAATGTTTCATGCTGATTGTTGCCCACAAATATTTAATCAATAGTGGTAAAAATGTGATTAGTAAAAAGGGTAATTGGTGTTAAAAATCATATTTATAAATATGAATTCATAATTATTAAAATTTAAATCGAAATCGACGAAAAATTGCAACAACTTCAGAACGGAAAATAACAGTTTGCGGGTTGGTAACCCCTGATTAAACTGTCACTTTTTGAAAACAAGTTATCCTAACCTTCCATTTCAAGATCCATTTGACAAGATATTGATGGCATAGTTTATTTATTACAATATAATAAGTTGAATGACTAGGTTTTATAAATTTTTTTTTTAAATACAATACGTTGTTTAGTGTACAATACAAATAAAATGGAAGTGCCTAAAATAAAGTTGAATGATGGACATGAAATGCCCGTATTTGGTTTAGGCACATATAAGGTAATTAATTTTCTTATATATGTAGATAATATTTTGCAGTAAAATACGCAAAATAGGTTAATTTTAGTTATATTCAAAATAGTGGCCTTGCCCACTCCTTTACTATTTTAGCTTCTATATTCTTAAATGTCGAAAGTTGTTTGTTTTCTTATATTCTTTAAGATATACCAAAAATTATAAGTAAGTACAGTTTGTTCATTCTATTAGCATTATCTTTGTTTGAATAGTGAGATCAAAATATAAATATACATATATAGATTCACAGTGTTTTAGCATTTAACATATATTAATTTATATGTTAAACGCTAAAACACTGTGATGAATCTAATAAAAAATCTATTAAATTGAACATTTATTATAGGCTTCTAGATCCGGAGAAGCACAGCGTGCAGCTCAAGATGCCATTGATGCTGGATACAGACATTTTGATTGTGCTTATATTTATGGAAATGAAAAAGAAATTGGAGAGGGCCTCAAAGCAAAAATAGCAGAAGGAGTAGTGAAACGAGAAGATTTATTTATCACAAGCAAGGTAGTATTTCATATTATTGAAACTTTGTAGTAGTTTGTTATCCCAATAAGATATTGGTTTAAAACTAATTAACATTACTGAGGATCATCTACATAAATGAATGAATATACAGAAACTTCTGCTTGCATCTTTGCGACTCTAAGTTAATATTATTACCATTACATATTTGGTAATTTTTTCCTAAGACTTTTACAAAATGTATCAATTGTCGTAAACTAATCTTAATTTTTTTTTTAGCTTTGGTGCACCTACCATGAGCCGGAGAAAGTTGTAAAGTACTGTAAAAAGTCAGTTGATAATGTCGGATTAGGTTACTTAGACTTATTTCTAATTCATTGGCCCTTTTCCTACAAGGTAAATATACATTTATATAATTACAACTTGAAGCAAAATATTGCACATATTTCGAATTCATTTAATGATTTGTTTGCAATTTTTTTCTAGGATTCTGATAATTCATATAATAATATTGATTATGTGGATACTTGGAAATCAATGGAAGAATGTGTTAAACTTGGATTAACTCGAAGCATTGGTATATCTAATTTTAACAGTGAGCAAGTTGAAAGACTGCTCAAGCATTGCACCATCAAACCGGTAGTCAATCAGGTTGAAGTCAATACTAGTATCAACCAGAAAAGGCTAACTAAGTTTTGTAAAGATAGGGATATTGTCATTGTTGCATATACACCACTAGGTATGAATAAATTATTCATATCATCCATATTTTTTTTGTTACATAGAATTTTATTTGGCTTTAATTATTTTTGAATACATAAATATTCCTAATATCTAATTTCAGGTTCAATAGATACTGCTCGCTCAGGAGTATCAATTCCTAAAGTTGTGCAAGAGTTAGCAGAAAAGTACAATAAAACACCAGCCCAAGTAGTACTACGATACTTGGTATGTTTTACAAATAAAAACCAAATTATTGCAAGAGCTTATTAATTCTAAATTTCAACTTGCAGGTTCAACTTGGCGTAGTACCAATTCCTAAATCTGTAACAAAATCAAGAATTGTTTCGAATATTCAAGTATTTGATTTCAATCTATCTGATGAAGAGGTTGAAAAATTGGATGCTTTAAACAAAAATAAAAGATTTGTTACATTTGATTCTGCTAGTGGTCATAAAGATTATCCATTCCATTTGGATTTTTAAGTATTAATTGCATTAGTTGATACAAGGTTGTATACGGAATTAACCATGAAGTAAAGTTGCAAAGGCTTTAGTACTAATTGGGCAAGGTAAATTAATTTGATAGAGGATTTAAAAATACATCATATTATAAAACAATGTTAATAAAATTTATTAATAAATATATTTATAATATTTTTTAAACATTCTTTTAATAATTGATTTTCTAATATAAGCAATGATTTCATTACTTTTTCATGAACACAGACGCATTATTTTCATAAGTTTCAAAAATCACAACAAGAAATTATAAAATGCTTTTAAGTATAAGATAATAATTCAGCTTTAAAATAATTGGGACTACAAAGAAGCAAAAATGTGGAAGAAGGTAAATGTTTTTTTTATATAATATATAAAATTGTATTTATATTCCTCATATATATATTATATATATATATATATATATATATTATATATATATTATATATATATATATTATATATAATGTATAATATTATATTATATATAAATATATATATATATATATATATATATATATATATATTTATATATGTTTATAAATATATATAATGACTAATTAATTTGCTAATTTTGTTGTTTATTGTATTAATGTTGCAAGTAATTTTGGATAGTTTAAAAACAAAATTGGAAAAACCATGTGTTTGTGTATGTGGGTCGACATTTGGCTTTTGTCCACGTTTTCTTAAAAACGTCTGTACCGATTTCAAATATTTGAAAGCTTTCAGTGAAACTCAATAGACTCTTGTTGATTTGTTTTGCGAGAAGATCGGCCGAGCCATTTCTTTAGATATTTCAGTAAATTTCAATTTTTTTGGCAAAATTTTTGCTACAAAAATTTAAATACGTAATCTAGAAGACACACATAGGTCTCTATTTTCGCCTCAAAAACGTAACGGTCTGATACGTAACGGTTACGGTTTTGTTACCGTTAACGGTTTTGTCATTGTTACGTTTTCAAATCAGAAAATAAACGTGTAGGTGTCTTAGATGTAACTTAAAAATTCAATAAAATTTCCTGTAAATATAAAACCCCATTTACAACTATATAAAAACCAATTACAACTATACGTAACATTTACGTTTTATTAATGTAACCACCAAATACGTAACGACGTTTTTTCTGTGCTACGTTATTTTAACATAATTGAACGTTTGTGGTTTACTGGGAGTTTGGAATTGTGTAGATTAGTTTTTGCAAAAGATCCACCGTGTCGTTTCTTCGTAATTAATTGTCGTTTTTTTCTGCACCAAAATATTATAGGGCTGTAAAAAGAGAGGTAATTATAAAAATTCATCAAAGTTTTGTCACAATTTTAAAAGTCGTTAAATCTCAATTTATTTGATTAAGTTGAGATTAAATTCTTGTGCATGGATTTTCTCGTATTTACCACAATCGGCGGCTTAATGTGCATAATTGTATGATAATAACTATATTTTTTTCGATCCATTTTGCTAAAGTAGAAGTTAAAATAATCCTAAGATTAATTTTTGTCACCTCAAATTGATTTTAATGTAAGTTTGTTTTCATTAGCACGTAGCTCACCTAACCCTCCGGTTTTATTTTCCACCTTAGTCGATTTTTAATGATGAAAATCTATTTATTGGTTTGAGTTTCGAACTCTTTCGATTTCATCAATATTATTATACATTAATATATTTATGAAACTTATCATTAGACACATATGAAGTCCTAATAGCTCATTATATCACAATCGCAGAATATAATCTAAAACTGTGGTAGTTAGAGCCTATTTTATTGATTACCATATTGGAGTATTTTCTAAAGCATTAAATATGTATTTAGTCTCAACACGTATTAAAAGAAAAGAAGTTATAACTGTTTTTGTAACTATTATTTCAAATATTAAATTATAAATGATTTGCGGGGCTTCTAATCTTAATTAACATGAAAAAATGTCTCTTGTTGGCACAAAGCGCCTTAGAAAGAAAACTGAAAATAGCACATTTTTTTCTATTTTTCAAATAATTTTCTTTTTTTCGGAGCACGTCGGTTTATCGACAATAAGTGGAAATGATTTCAAACAAAATCAAAATTATTCTAGTGGACAAATTTGCAGTATCATATTTTTGGGATTTACCACATACGCTCTGATATCGACTGCTGCTGGTTGGCAATGGTCGAATGAATCCATCGATGGAATCATAACAGCAGTTG